AGTATGTTCTGTGTGTTGATGACTCCAGCACAATTGATTGTCTTGCAGGCCTCTCCAACTCAAAATATTCAAAGGTGGACTCTTATTTTCCTTTCCCTTCAAGTTGTTCCTTTCTCTTTCTTTTTTCTGTTAATGTCTTAATGGCTTACCTGATATTCAGCTAGAAATCTGGAGGTTACATTTGGCTCATTCCTCTCCCTCACCATTCTTTCTGCCATTCCCTTCCCATACAGTCTCTCACATGTTTTGTCCATTCTGTCCCTAGAATATATTTTAAGTCTACAAATTTTTCTATTTTCTCTGCTACCATCCTAGTCTGAGCTATCATCAACTTGTGCCTGGATTCTTGCAATATCCATAACTGGTCCCCTTTTTCTCTTCCCTCTTTTCAGGTATTTGTTGGATTTAATTGCAGATGCAGTGGGATGGCCTATGAGTTTTAAGTAGAAGGATGATTTGATTTGTAATTTAAAGTGATCATTCTGAGAGATGTGCAAAGAATGACTCATTACCATGGTCTGCAAGGACTGGCATGATCTGCCTCTGTCAACTGTCCAATTTCATTCCCTGTCTTTTTCTTGGCATGCTTCAGTTACATTGGTCTACTGTCAGTTTTTTTGTGTTTTCCCCGCTGAATGCCCATTGCTTTCCAGCCTTAGGAAAAGCCATTGTTATTTTCTTTGTTTTTTAAGTTCTCCTTTATCATCCTTTCCCCATCAGTTTTTATAAATCCAAGGGAGGAAGAACGATGTCTTTTGCATTTACTTATGTATACCCAGAACCTAGCATAATGCCTTACACAAAGCAGCACTTAGTATTTGTTGAATAAATAAAACAACAGTAATTAGTCATTCATGTGTTAAAAAATTAGTGTGCGAGCTCTATGTTAGGTGCTATGAGAAGGTACAGAGGTTTTATAATACATAATTTTTACCCTGAGATTTAAAAGGAGTGATAGGATAATATACTAAATAATATTGTAACATGGAGAAAGACACTGTAGTTAGAGTAGCTCAAAGTTCTGCCAGTAGCTAGTTGTGAGATCTCAGATAAATCGTCTTCCTTCTCTGTTCCTTTATTTAGTTACCTGTAATATTAAGGAATTTGACTAGACTTTCCTAAGACTGGTTTTTATATCTTGTGTACAATTAATGGTACATTGGTTAAATTATTTTCCCCCAGGCTCCATCCTTGGAGATTCTGATCAGTAGATTTGGGAATTCCCCAGGTGATTGTATTGCAGAACCAGGTTTAGGAACTATTGATTTAGGTTTTTCTAGCTTTTCCATCTTATAATTCTAATTGTAGTATAAGGTTTACTGTGAAAGTGCAGCAGGAGTCAGGTAAATTTGTTCAGAGGCAGAGGAAATATTTTTTTGCTTCAGTGATGGGAGAACTTAATGGATAAGGTGACATTGAAATGGACTTTGAAGAATGGATGGAGATATATGGGCAAGTGCAGAAGTAAAGCATGATTGGTGTTTAGTCCAGTTTAATTAGAGGCCAAAATATATGCAAGAGGAGGGGGGTGGTTACCCATTTTGATGCAATGGACCATAGTCTTGTTTTCTCCACTTTACCTATTATACTTGGTTTTCCTTTTGGAGATGAAAATGCTGTTATTGAAGCTTGATTCTCATTTGGTAGGAGTGAAATATGTGGCAACAGACACCATGGAGCTACTTTGTAAAATAATTGGATGTCTTCTTCCTCAAGCCTTTTGGGACTGTGCCCTTTGAAGTCCACTTTGACCAACCCAACCACTTTGTGTTTTCTGGTCAGACACAAAGAATATCAGGACCCACTATGTTATCTAAAATAATAGTTTTGCTGTCAGAATGATTCTTATTAAATCAAAGATAGCTTTTTTGTTTAGATGAAACCATATAAAGGCAACATTCTGAGTAAATTATATAGCATCTACATGAAGAAATAGTGAGCCTAAGTTTAGGGGATGAAAATAATGATCTAATGCAATATTTAGAATGAATATACAGTATGTACTTATTAACTGAAAAATCATATCCTATGTTCATTTGATTTGTGCAAAATTTGTCATTAATTGCCAGGAAGCCTCTGATTTTTCATACATAATCACGTCATAGTGTTGACTTTCTCCCCCTTCTCCTGCCTTAAAATACATCTTTGTAAATAGTAGATTACTTTCAGATCTGTAATACCCCTTTTAAACATTGAGTTACTAAGTTTAGCCCAGTTCTTTTTTCAAAGTAGAATTCTTTCCACCCCAAACTTTGCCTCTGAGTATTTACTGACAAATCACACTTTGTTTTTGGGTGCCAACTGGCTTCAAATCTTATTTAATCGTTTTGCCTAGTGGGAGCATGCTAGTTTTAAAATGTTTTTTGTTTTCATGAGTTATGAAAATGGATATAGTATTTCATTTAGAAACAGTCTGTGAGATGAGTTCTGACCCTTCATTCAAACTAACTCTAAATTGGGCTACTTTTATTAAATACTTGTCAAAGAGGCTTATCAGAGTAGGGTCAGAAACACAGAGGCCGGAATTGAGAAGAAAGAATGAGGTAGTGAGTAAGAAATGAGAGAGAGTAAGGTAGAGTCCAGCCCATGCCTACCCCTGACAATTGTCTCAGATCAATCTAGGATTTCCAGGTTAACCTGTAATCATCCAGTCAGCCCACTACCTCATGCAGCCCTTGCTGATGTTGGTGTATTAATTATCAGTTGATTTTGAAATTAGAGAAGTGAAAATACCAAGCCTATTGTGATTAATTGCTTGCAAAGAATTACTTTTATTTATGTGAATTCTCTGCCTCCAGTAGCACCAGAGCACCTTAGAGAATGCTTTAACCAGAATGTATTTGAAAGGAACACACACACACACACACACACACACACACACAACAATGAAGAACAATGAAGGTAGAACAATGAAGACCTTTCTTATAGCTAAGAAAATAGAAAAACTTTAGACTGGAGAAAATTTCCCCAATTTCAGCAAAAGCCTTCACAGGAAAATGACTACTACTGCATCACTGCTTTCTTTTTATCTGCCAGACTGTTGAGAAGAATAATAGAGTCAGAAGTGTAGACAACTTAGAAACAAATTTAAGACCATTTACTATTTTGCAAACTGTGTTGCGTGTTCATGTTGCCTAGGGTCACATTGTAGATCTGTCTCTGCTTCAGTAAGAGCACTTGAAGGTATTATACAGGGTGTCCCAAAAAATGTATACACACTTTAACAGCTGATAGCTCAATTTTGAAAATTAAATGTATTATAATAAACAAAGTGTGTGTATACATTTTTGGGGGATACCCTATATATTAGGATTTCATGTATTATGTGGTTTGATATAAGAGTTCTGCTCTTTTATAAAAAGCTTGAAAAAATTGGTTTAGGTCAAATGCCAAAGATTTTTATAGAAAATGTACCTGAAAGTCAAAGTAGTTAAATTACATACCTACAGTTGTATAACTATTTAGTGGTTGATTGAAATTAGAAACCATGAACCTGGGCTTCCCATCCAGTGCATTTTTACTACAAAATGTTGATTTGGTTTTTCATTTTGAAAGACACAGAAGTGATCTGTGAAATGGTGATTAGTACAAGGCAGCCCCAGGCAGCCCTGGAATGTTCCATGGTTCAAATGCCCCAGACCAGATGGAGGCCCAGAAGTGGATGACTGAAAGTTTATTAGTTTTGCCACCTGGGCAGTACAGTCAAACCAGCTGCCATAAGGCAGTTCCAATTTCAGCAGAGCTGTAAATGAACATAAAAGTCAGTGTAAATCCCAAGAAAATGGTAAAGGGGAATGACTGCTGCTGCAAGGAGATTAATTCAGCCTAGCCCTATTGATAGCACTCTTGGGAGGCACAGGTGCCATGTCAGGCAGAGGGCAATAACAGGTTGTGGCACCAAGCCTTGAAAAATCACCCCTTGAGTTGTTGCAGCAGCCAGTATCAACTTGCTGGCTTGGTAGATTCCCAGTCACATCTAATGATTTAGAATGGGAAAAGCGAGCCCATGCTATATCTTGATTATGTTAGGAGTTGAGAAGCTTTTGTTCTGGAAACTGAAAAGTTGTTATTAGGTCAGCTCCTTTCCATAGGTCTGGGCCCTGGGAGGCATGGATATTCACTAGAACATGTGTCTTGTGGCAGATCTTCAGGAATCAAATTATTATCTTCATGTTATCCTTATTTGGAATTGAATTATTGTGGGTTTTCTTGAATTGTATATGAATCAGTGTTAAGACTCAGAGATTTTAGATCACCCCTTTAATAGAACTATGCTTGAAAACAGAAATAAGTGTAATAGGCCATGGGACTAGAAGCAAGTTGTGAAAAGTACAGTAATTTTTGTTTAAATGAGGATGATTCACTATGAATAAAAAATAATAATCTTGATTCTCCATGTTAGTAAAAATACTTTGGGCAGCAAGGAACAGAAAATTTGACTAAACTAACTTAATCAAAATAGAGGTTTATTTATTTATTTAGTAAATAAGTAAATAAGTAAATAAATAAATAAACCTCTATTTTATGTAATGCCAAGTTTAGAGGAATGGAGCTCCTAACTTTGGTTCACCTGCTCAGTGTCTCTTTTTGTGTCATCTTGATGGAAAGTAAAAGGGCGGGTGGAGAAGGGAAAGGAATGTATAGTTGCTGATTTATTTTGCTAAGGCTTTGATGCTAAAACTTGACCAGGTCAACCAGCTGGGTCAACTTCTGCCTTTAGATGATCTTTTCAGGAACTAAGTGTTCCTGTGTTTATATTTCTCAGGCGACATTACTCAGTACTTAGTCTCATGCAATAATGTAATGCTGCTCTTCCTTTCTTTGTATGATGAAAGGTGGATGCCTGCATATTTTCTAACCCGTTCAGAGTTTTTTCTCTCTTTTTTTTTAATCTTCTACAATGACATAAAATGAAATCAAATTAGAACTTTCATATTATAACCTTCTGTTAATGAATGAAATGAGAGTATAGATACATTGGCTTTTTTTTTTCTTGGTAGGTGGCATGTTTAACCCAGGTAGCTGCTAATTATCTTATTGGCCAAAAAGAAGCGAAACGTTGGGGCACAGCTCATGGCAGTATTGTTCCCTACCAGGTAAGAATACAACAAGATTGTAGTATTGGGCTACCGAAATCTGCAGTTCTGTATGGTATGAGTTTGCAAAATGATTTCCTTAAAAAAACAAACAAACAAGTTTTCAGGGTATTCTGTCATATATCTTTGTTTAACTATAACAAGGTTCTATTTTTCACTTTAAATGCTGTATTTTGCATATTTCTTCATCAGAAGATTAGTAACAGGACACTTAAATGGATCAAAGAAACTTGCTGAAAGTCAGTAACTATGGGACTCAGGTGGGTTTGCTTTTTTTCCCATTTTTTTCACCCCAAAGAGGCACTGATTGTAGCCTTTTAGAAAGCATGGTTTGTTCACCATGTCAATTATAAACCAAATGTTACCTACCCCTGTTGACAATAATATTCTCACAGTGTTGGAGTAAAATGAAAATTTGCCTGTGACATCTTCATTTTTGAGCAAAGCAGATGGTGCAGGAACTGCTGTTCTTTATTAAGTGTCTAAACTTGTCCTTAGAAATTCTTGACTTTGGCTAGTGTGAATGAATATGTGAAGGAGCTGTGATCTTTCAAAAATAAAAACAGAAACTCGAACTCCTTTCCAAACCCCTAACCTTTGCTTAGTCCAGTTGCATTATATCTCATTATTTTGCTAATGTACTTGTTGTATCTTCTGCATTATATTGTAAGTTTAAGAGTAGAGGTGTCTTTTTTATCGTGTCCCTTTTCACATCCAGTAGAAGCACATACTAGTTAACTATAAAATTTCTGTTGAATAAATGAGTTGATTTTACTATAGTCATTTTAGTGCTAGTGCTTTTAACAGTACTCACAGAAGTCAGCATTTTCCGTTTGCCAGGAAACCCATCAACACTGCTAATCATCCCTTTAGTTTTAAGAACAGTAGTTCCTTGGGCAAAACTAGTTTCATTTCAGTTTTTATCAGATCTGAAGAAAGCTGTGACCCAATGTGATTCTAGAATTCTTTCTCTATTTCTATTTATGGTCTCTACTCCTGAGGCATTACTATGTTTTTTTTCTGTAGAAATATGATTTCTCTTTTTAACACATTTAATTAATCTTTTTGCAAAATTACAGTTGTGTAGACATTTTCTTCAGTTTCTTCCCTCTTTTCTTCCAAAGTGGTTTTATGACTACCATTAGTAACATTTTACTTCCCCTTTTCTTAGCCCTTTGTGTTTGCTCCTACACTTCTAGACAAACCTACCTCACATCACAAAAGTGGTATTTTTGGACTAGTTAGAGGTCATCAAATTCAGCCTTCAGATTTCTTAGATAAGAAATCTTATGCTTAGGTTGATTAGATGGATTCCAACTCTGATCTCCTGCCTACTTGTGGAATATTCTTTCAGAGCCTGGTACCTTTGACAGGAGAGTGTGTGATTCCAGTTCCCTCCTACTCCACCCCACACTGGCTCCACCACACTTGCTCCTAGCTAAGGAGTCTCATCAACTAATTAATTTATGCTCATCATAAATTAAATGGAAATCCCTGTCAAGTGCATTTTAACAGGGGACAATGTTAGAACCTGTGGGAATTCATCTCAAATAATGGAAGTCTAGGCTTCACTTTTTGATGTGTATGGAGAAAGCATTTATGAGTTGGAAGGCTTTTCAGTGTAATTCCAAATCACATTGTATAGGGTGGTGTTTATGTATCTGTTCAAGTATAAGGTTTATTTTTTATTTTTTGCTTATTTTAAAAAATAGAATGTATTTTTAAAAAATTTAATATAGACCTCAGTTATCCCTTCTGAGTGTTTACACCAGAGCTCTGGCATCTTGGGTATGCTCTCAATTATTTCATTTTGATGTGAAAAGAAATTTATAATCTTTGGTTTTTATAATTGTAGTTATAAAAAAAAGATATGTGTGTGTGTGTTTCTGTTCTTTGAAGACATAAATGTATATCTTCTGCTTGAATTGTCCCAGTGACATAAAGTGGATAATGTGCTTATTTGATCTAGTTGATTGCAGCTTTATTATTGTTAAGAAATAAGAGAAGTTCTGCTAGGGTCTTTCCTCAGTATCCCAGAATTAATTTTTCTCTTGGTAAGGTGTTGGTTCAACACTGTGATTAAGGAACAAATGCAAATTTAGCTTGAGTGAAACTAGCATACCATGATGGGTCCTAGATATACTTATAGACCCTGGTCTGTTTTCCATTTTAAAAATAAATTTGGAAAATATTTTTTTATTGTGAATCTAGGATAATTATAATTCAATTTTCTATAATAATTACAGCTTTGTATTTAATTTGAGTTGTCTTGGTTTTGATATGAAGGTGTATAATGGAAGGCCCTGGTGGTCTCAGGAATTAAAGTTAAGATACCCAGCCCACTTTCCCCTATTCATGCTGAACCCTATCTGAAATATCATAGACCTTGAATGCATGGGCTTATTTCACCTAGCATAATACCCATTAGATCCATCCATGCTGTCACACATGGTAAGATTTCATAATTTTTTTTATAGCCAAGTAATATTCCATTGTATATACGTACCACAGTTTTTTATCTACTCTATTGACGGGCACTTGGGTTGCTTTCATATCTTGGCTGTGGTAAATAATACTGTGATGAACATACTGGTGCATATATTTTTTCGAATTAGTGTTTTGGTTTTCTTCGGATATATACCCAGAAGTCACCTGCTGGATCATAAGGCAGTTCCATTTTTAATTTTTTGAGGACCCTCCATACTCTTTTCCATAGTGCCTATACCAATCTGTATTCCTACCAACAGTACATGAGGGTTCTATTTTCTGCATATCCTCTTCAGTGCTTGCTCTTAGCTAAGAGGTCTTGTCAACTAATTAATTTATGCTCATCATTGATAATGGAAATCCCTGTCAAGTGCATTTTAACAGAGGACAATGTTAAGAACTTGTTTGTGTATTTATTAATGATAGCCATTCTGACAGGTGTGATGTGATATCTAATTGTGGTTTTAATTTGTAGTTCTCAAGTAATTACTGATGTTGAGCATCTTTTCATATATCTATTGGAGAAGTGCCAATTCAGGTCCTCTGCCCATTTTTTTTTTTTTTTTTTTTTTTTTCCT